CTCGGGTTGCGACCAAATTCGGAGGGCGGATTAACCGTATTTACATTGAACCTTATGGGGATATTTACCTCGGGTTGCGACCAACTCGAGTTGTGACCAGAGTCACGGAACGGATTAAGTTTGTAAACCGAGGTACCATTGTAATCAGGAGGCTCTTGAGGAAATTTATCCTGGCTTCAGAAAAAATGGTGGATTACTAAAGATCCCATTTTATGTGGGCCTACCTTTAGAGAAGATCATCATATGGTGATAGTGTTTTGTAAGCTTCATTAGCTGCCACTTTGTTTTTCAGCCTAATTGGGATCACACTTCCTCTCCAATGTTTACCTACCAGGGCACTGCAATCATCTTCAGAGGGCGTCCTCTAGATGCTGCATCAACTGAACTACAAGGAAATGGACCTTCTCAAATGTGGAATTACTGTTTTTGGGTGGATTAAAAATAAATTAAATAGTAAGTAATATGAAGCTTCAGGCTTTGCATACTGTGGCAGGTTTATGGTGCCCTCAGATGACATTGACATTCAGTAGTGAGGAGCCCATATTTGATCTCTGAGCCATCCCTCATATGAGCAAGGATAATCCACCAAAGTGCAAACTTTTAAAATAATTTTTATTGCTTTTTAATTAATAACAAAAAGGAAAAACACAATAATAATAATACATAAGAAGAAAAAAAACATTAAAAGGTGGCATTCAAAAAAGTGACAAAAATACAAGAACAAAAAAAATAAAATAAATAAAAACTGTAGTATACCATTATACAGTAAATAGTTACACATCTATATATATTTACCTAATGCAAATAATATTCAAATACATATATATTTCCAATACATTTATATAACTCATTTTTTTTAACCTATTGTATTTTGTATGAGCCCCATATTTCCTTATACTTGTCCATACAAAGTCTACATCTATAGGCAATCCGCTCATAAGTGGCAAGTGTAATCAGGTCTTCAATCCATTGAACAAATGGAGCCATATATTTATCTTTCCAGTGCTTCAATATCAGTCTTTTGGCCATAATAAGGGCACAAAGAATCCATTTATGTTGTCCAGATGTCAAATTCCATGTACTAGGTATATAGTTCAAAAGAACATTATTGTCTGAAAATTTTAGCTTTTGTTGCACAATCACGTTTATACAGTATAGTCCAATACTTTCTCCCAAAACTTAGTAAGTACAGGACATTGTAAAAACATATGTTTTAAAGAGGCATTGC